TGACTTGCCATGGGCTCCACTGAAAAACAGAACAGAACAATTGCAATGAAAATGCGGAACAGATTTCGAGCAACCTGTCCTGGGCATGGAATGACAGTCTTCAGAGTGGAATGATGCTCCCTGGACCAAGATAAACTGCTCTGGGCCTGGAATGACAGCCCACACTGTGGAATGACAGTCCCTTGTACTAGTTACACTGCTCTGGGACTGGAATTACAGCCCCCGCAATGAAATGCTGGTCCCTGGGACTATAAAATTGCTCTATGCCTGAAATGAAAGCCCCCAGACTGGAATGAAGGCCCATGGGCCAAGATAAACTGCTTTGGAGAGGAAATGAAAGCCACCAAAATGGAATGATGCCCCCAGGACCATATAAATTCTTCTGGGAGTGGAATGACATCTACAGCTGAAAATGGTCCTTGTGCTCAGTTACACTGCTCTGGGACTGGGGTGACAGCCCTCTAAATAGAACGATGGTTCCTGAGTACATATAAACTGTTCTCAGAGTTAAATGAAAGACTGACTGGAAAATATAATCTGCTTTGGAATTGGAATTACAGATCTTGGGTGTGGAATCATTGTTCTGGGACTGGACTGAGAGTGCCCAGAAGTCCCTGAGACCTCAAAAACAGATCTGGAACTGGAATGATGGTCCCTGAGAAGAGTATAGCACCCCATGCATAAGACAAAAATGCTGCCAAATAGATGCTCTGATTTGGTATTAAGCATAAATCCATTTGGAAGAACACAGTGACATGAAATATTTTATTTTGCAGTAATTTTGGTTCTTAAGTTGTTACAGTTCCATCTTGGATAAAGCTTTGGTGAAATGAGGTGCTACAACAGCGGTTCACCCTGTCAGCTGGATCTGAACTTACAGAGCTGCTATATGAACAGAACTTTAAATCTTCAGGAACAGAGGATTCTACTCACCTGAAGTACTATTGGTGTATTGAGTGGACTTTTGAATTTGCAATTTACATTTGAATCCTTTGTTCTGTGACTCATGAACTTAGATCTTTCTCTGTTTGCATAATTTATTTATATGAATTTCAAGATTTGTATTAAGATTGTTTTGTATGTTTGTTATGATTCAAATAATTTCTAAGCATTATATGTAGTGTCTGAGTGTTTTTGGAGGTTTAATTATATGGAGGATTTTTCCCTTTGTTATATTCTGATTTGGTATTTGGCTTAATAAGTACCCAAAAATTTCAAAAAGGCATTATTTGGGAATTTATTAGGCTTGGTAAATACTGAATGCACACACCTACCCCTGACCCTGGACTGGACTTGCTGCCTGGATCCCTTGACCCTAGACTGGACTTGGCATACCTGCTCTCTGGAACCCCTAACTTTTGGACTGGATTCTGGTTACTGTTTGCAGCCTTACCTATAACCTGCCCTGCTGAAACCCAGGCCTTGTTTCCTGGGAGGGCTGCACCAGTACAGAGATTGTAAGCCACCCTGAGACTCTGAGGCTGATTTTGCACAAGGTATCAATGGTAACAGCCCAAGACAACTAGTAACCCGGAAAATAGACTGACACTCAGCGCTTAGGATGAAATGAAATACAATTTCTCCACTGTATTTAACAATGCTAGTTTATAATAGCTAATAACACATCCATACTGTTACATATTCTGTCTTTCATATGCACACCCAAAATACAGAAAAAAGTGGGTTGACGAAATTCCCCGGAGTTGATTTTAGTTTTGTTCACAACTTTATCTGAACATACTGAAGCACCTTACAAAATGACATAAAAGGTTATGCAATGCAATGCAATTATACATATGTTGAAGCTATTTATATACAGCTATTTCTATTCAATGAAAATTATTATAAGGCAATGTACCGTGGTAGTCTCTCTTGAAAATCTACTATTCATAGTGTCTTCACATAATATTCCATGCCATGATTTCAAATACTAGAATGTATCTACAAAGACATACATCTAGTTACTCTATTGTTGCAATCTACATTTATACAAAAAGCATTTTATAAAGTACATACACAAAGCATTATTACAAAAAGCTTATTACAAAACTGTTTAAAGTTTACAACTCACCCTCATCCATTTTACTGGAGAATCTTATCCTGGGCATACAAACAGATCAATTTGTCTTAACAGGTGTTCACGATGGGCTGCTTATAAAGACATCCTTACACATTATACAGTAACTTTTTTGACATTTATGGCTCACCTCTATATGAACAATAAATAATACAAAACCACTAGTCTACTTAGCTATTGCATCTTTAATAATACAACTTTAATAATACAACTGGCTAAAAGCCTTGTTAAAATCTTCAAATATTAAAACTTCTGAGTCCCTGTGCTTTCAAATTACACTGACCAAATCAAGCCAAAAGATCCCTGCAGATTCACATCTCAAGAATTAATTAATTAAGGGAACGCTCTCAAGGACGCACTCCTTACTGAAGGGAATGCTCATACACATCTTAACTAAGGTTTACATAACACCACTGAATAATGTTAAATCTACAAGGTCAAACCGTACTACATATCTACACTCTTCTCTGTTTTAAAATATTATTAAAGTGCTAATCTGCTATAAGTGTATGCATCAAACCCTATGCAGCTGAGGGTCCTTAAGGTTCATATTCCAAAACCATGCCACTGATTAAAGGGAAAAACTCTCAAGAACACACTAACAAAACTGAAGGCTAAATCACTACACATATCCAAACTAAGCCTTATCGGGCGAAAGATCCTCTAGACACTCACACCTTTTTTAAAAAAATAGCATTTTATTGAGTTTTATATATTTTTACATCCTGTATTACTTGTTAGTTGTATACAGTATCTTTCAACAGCATCTAATAAACAATAATAAGGGGAGCGGTGGCGCAGGCGGTAAGAGATGCCTGCACGTACATCTGGCCGAACAGCTTCGGCTGTTCAAGCCCCACCGCGGCCGGGGGGGTGGCGAGCGGCGAAGCGAAGCAGTGGCGATGGCAGCGGAGAAAAATGGTGGCTGGCGAGGCAAGGAGCGAGCGAGCAAAGGAGGCCGGACCAACTGGTGTGGAGGCGGAGTAACGCAGCAGGCTGGAGCCTCATCGGGACAGAGGCCGCAGCGGAGCATGCACGGAAGTGCGAGTAGTCCTGGCCCGGAAATGGATCGCTACAGCCGGAAGAAGGGAACG